TTTGAGTAAAATTCACTAATAAGTAGGAATTGAATTACTAGACATCAGGTCTCTTTCTGGGCGCAGGAAGCATTCAACTTTAACCGAATCCCTTTCCTTTTTTCCACCACACAGAGCGTTCCATGTGCAGAGGTGGAGGCAGAATACTGGCGTATCATGCAGGATTATTCAGAAGATGTTATCGTTGAATACGGTGCTGATGTTCATGCGTCTAGCCACGGATCTGGCTTCCCCACTGAGAAATTACTTAATACCATGACGGAAAAATTGAATCCCGATGAACGGCGTCGCGCTTTGGAGTATGCTCAGAGTCCTTGGAATCTCAATAATCTCCCTCTTGTTGGCAAGTAAGTGTCTTTCCTAACTAAGATTCCACGTTTCATCCTGGAATAACAATCCTGTGTTACTTACTGAGTGTGTGTATGTGTGTTGGATCAAGCACTTCTTAACTAGTAAAACAGTGATTGTTCCTTTTGTTAAAGGTGTGGAATAATACAGGAGGAAGCATCGATGCTATATCAGTGTGTAGGTGCTGAAAAGTTGATTCCATTACACTATTTAGCTCTTATCAAATGGGGAAGATTGATCTCACCCGACCCTAGTGCCAACTCTCATTTGGGGAAAAGAGGAGATTTCCGCTTTACGCGCATGAAACATTTTCTCAAAAAATTTTTGTCTTGGGTGTTTTCTATCGAGGCATATTGGTAGACAAGTGTCGTGGTTTAAATTTAGTCAGCATGTTGACTGAGAATGTTTTCTACCCTCGATTAGAAAGGTTACTGTCTATTTGATGAATGGCTATGGGCATTAGTGGCATAATTGTACCGGTCGAGGCAGCCCCACTTCAGACAAGATCTTCCCCCCCCCTTCCCCCCCCCTTCCCTCCCCCCCAAACATCTGCAATGAATCTCTTGTTGTTTAATGAATAGTTAATAGGAGGCACTGTTCTCTAAGACTGTTGAATAACTTCGTTGATCTTGCATTCATACCTCACGAGTGTCCTTGTCCACGTGACTAACAAACACACACACTTTCCACCGATATCTCTTACTATCTTGAATCCTCATCATACGCACCTCTACTTTTGAAGCTGATGCCAGTTGTTATTTATACTGGTTCTGGTTCCGGATCACTAGCTACTATAATTTGGTGACCCTTCATTGACCCTAAATGAAACCCACTATTCGAAAGCTATCAACATAGAGGGATAATGGGACCTCTTCATGTTCATGTTTTTATGAGAGTTAAATTGAGCTCCGGTGAGGCAGGAAAATGGAATTCTAGCTTTTACCTATATGTCCTCACACCTCTTGCGTATGAATGCGCGTGTGTTTAAATGGAGTGTACTTCTTTTTACTGAGATAATCCCCTCTGCCTCTCTCGTTTCTTTCTAGCTCTGTGCTGCGTTTCATCAAGGGCAACGTGGATGGTATGAAAGTGCCGTGGTGTTATGTTGGAATGGTCTTCTCCACATTCTGTTGGCATATCGAAGATCACTGGAGCTGCTCTATTAATTTTAATCATTGGTGAGCTCATTATTCATCCCTTAATTCAAAGTGTTCTCTTAATAATTGTACTTCTTTAATGCCTATCACGTCTCTCATGTCGTGTTTACCTCTTAACTTCTTACTTCATGGCTATTTTCGCGCGGCATTAACGAAACCGCCACTTTTAGTTAAATTAGTCCAGAAATATCCGTGTGTTCCTTCCCCCCAAACCCCAATGTAGTCAAAATTATTTCGCCTTCAAGGTATTCTTTGATTTTACAGGGATCTTCCCATTTATAGAGCTGCCTTATTTTCGCCTTAGGAGCTCTTCATTAGCCATACTATCACCAACTATTTATTCATTATGATAGTATTTTATTTTGTTTAACTCCCTTAAACAACTAATTTGCCTTTCCATTCCATTCCTCCGGCTGTCAAAGTTGATTTGCGCAAGCTATTCTTTTCACTAGCCTCTTTCTTAGAATGGTTGACTTGACAACGTTGGGCAGAATCGACACAACTGGGCCATTTGTATTCGTATCCTTCAAGTTCTATTGGAGAGTTGAGTCTCATATTAGATATTTCAATTGTGTGACAACCTGCGACACTTCTTTATTCATTTTAAAAGCTTTCTGTAACATGAGGTGTCGCAGTGTGCCTCAATTCAATTGTCATTTTTTCAGCAGTAATGGTCACAATGGCTATTGTGTGCACGCTATTGGTGTAGCGGGGATAGTAGGCAACTTTTCCGCCAATCATAGCTCTTTCGAAACCCTGTGAAACATGTTCAACGATCAGAATCGCATTTACCGCCATATGGAAAACCGAGCGAAACGTCAAAGCACTCTATCTCTCTCCCCCCTTATTCTTTATCACTATAGTTAAAACAGACCAGACCCTTTAGGAATATTTATTTATTTCAAATGGCAGGCGTTTTGATAGGTATCATCAACCATTTAGCTGACTTCAGGCTTCACAGAGGGGAGGATGAACATCAAAGTGACTAGCAGTCGAGAGAGGGGACAGAATAATGATCCACAGATGTGACAGAGACAGACTAAAAAGCAGAGAAAAGGTAAGATGAGTACTGTGAATGTGTTGAATATGACATACAGTGGGGCGATGGTAGTTTGGAGTCTGAAGTCAACTGCCCATTGATAGACTTTTTTGCCGTATGAGAATGTAGGACATATAGGGGGGTCATGGTAGTTTGAAGTGAGAAGACAACTGCCCATTGGGTCATGGTAGTTTGAAGTCAGAAGTCAACTGCCGGTTTTGGGGTGATGGCAATTTGAAGTCAGAAGTCAACTGCCAGTTTAGTGAGGTCATGGTGGTTTGAAGTCAGAAGTCAACTGCCAGTTAAAGTGATGGTAGTTTGAAGTCAGAAGTCAACTGCCGGTTTACGGACTTTTTGCCGTATGAGTATACGTTGCCCAGGGTGCACCGACTTTTTTGCCGTATGAGTATACATTGCCCAGGGTGCACCTCGTGGAGGTAAGTCTATCGCACACTCCTCCTTTGGGAATATAGTTAGGGCGTTGGGAACTCTTTCGACATGACTAATTTTACAGTCCTACTGCATTGTTTTGCATCATATCAATCATTTTGTTTACGTCAATAGACAACAATTTTTCCGGTAGGAATTTATACCGAAAATGTGTTCCAACTTGCCAGTTTCTTTTATAATGGCTGATTTGAACGGTTACTAAGCACGTCATTGGTTGGTGAACAACTTCCTAAAAGTTATTCTGCCAATGTCTATTTCGGGGTGGAATTTTAAATAAGATATTCCACAGTATCGAAATAGATGTGTGTCTGAGGGATGACTCACAATACCCCTTTCAAGATGTTTGTCCTGGTAATCACCAATCCCTATGACTATAATTATGTTGACCTCACAGTAGTGCTTGAAGTGTGTTTGACCCTACTGCAACCTCAAGACTATTATCAAACCAACCCATAGTTTTATTTAATGTGTGTTTAATCCGGTAGTGACCCCAAGCCTCTCTCTTTGAGAACAATTGTGTGTGTGTTCTTAAGTGATTTATTTCGATTATCCAAATAAGACACCTATGTTGCGGTTGAGTGTGTGTGTGTGTGTGTGTGTGTGTTGCTAGATTCCATTCCATCTGTTTATGCTGCTCTTTCTCCTCGCGGCTATATAGAGCTACTTTTATACACTGTTCTTTCTCCTCTCTCTCTCTCCCTCTCTGCGTTTTCTCTCTTCCGATTCCCCTCAGTTTTCCACCCTTTTCTCCCACATTTTGATTGCCCCGTTACA